CTAGAATAATGGTGATATATATTGTTTAATAAGCCAAGAAGGTGTTTGATCTCTGTTTAAAAGAGATATATGAGGCTTAGCACTTTATGATTTTCAATAAATATTTGTTGAATGAATGAATAAATTAATGTATAAAGCAGTAAGGGGGAAATGCTGCACTTTTTTGGAGTAGTCAGTCTTACAGTTTCTGCTCTTACATTTGGGTCTCTGATCCACTTTAAGTATTTATATATGATGGTGTGAGATAGAGATCCAAATTAATTCTTCTTGTGGATATCTGCTGTATTAGCACTGCTGTTGAAAATAGTGTTCTTTTCCTATTGAATGGTCTTGGCACCCTTATCAAAAATCAACTGACCATAGATGAATGAATTTATTACTGGACTGTCGATTATATTCCATTTTCTGTATGTATATCCTTAAGCCAATACCATTTATTGTAGTTTTGTAGTTAGCTTTGTAACCAGGGAATATAGGTCCTTCAACTTTGTTCTTTTTTAAGATTGTTTTTGCTATTTTGAATCCATTTCATTTTCATTTAGGATCAGCTTGCTGAAAAGGGTTTTGATAGGGATTGAACTGAATCTGTAGATCATTTTGGGGAAGTATTGCCATCTTCACAATATCAAGTTTTCCAATCTATGAACATGGGATTTTTTCCATTTACTTAGGTTTAAAAAAAATTTCTTTCAACAATACTTTATACAAGTGTACAAGCTTGCACTTCTTTAGTTAAACTTATTCCTCAGCATTTTATTCTTTTGGTGTTATTGTAAACAGAACTGATATCTTAGTTTGATTTTCAGATTGCTCTTTGTTAGTGTATAGAAATACAATTGATTTGTATGTGTTGATATTGTATCCTGCAACCTTGCTGAACTGGCTTATTGGCTCTAATAGTATTTTTGTGGGCTCATTAGCAGACATCCTTGTCTTATGCCTGACATTATGGAAAATGCTTTCAGTCTGTCACCATTAAGTATGAAGTTAGCTATGAGTTTTCTGTAGTTGGTCTTTGTTAGGTTGAGGAAATTCCCTTCTATTCCTAGTTTGTTGAATGTTTTGGTATTGCATTTTGTCAAATACTTTTTTTGCATCAATTGAGGATCATATGGATTTTCCCCTTTATTCTATTTTTACACTACCTTCCATTGATCAGTTTCCATTTGTTGAATAAATTTTGCATTCCTTGAATAAATCCCACTTGCTTATGATATATAATCCTTTCCCCATTATTTCTTGTGGGCATAGATTTTTTTCTACTTCCTTTTGTCACCCAAAACACTCAAGCAGTACTCAATTAGATCAAGAATTTGTGTCCAAGACATGTAATCATTATTAATATTACTATCATCATTAATATGTCAACATTAACTTGGGCACAAGGTGATGATAGTCTGAACTAAGATGGCAGGTTTAAATGAGAAATCCCATTTCAAGGAATAAGATAAAAATTAGAGACTATTGGCTATAGGGGATTATTAAAGTTCTGAATATTCTTGAATAATCCTTATATTCCTAGAATAAGCCTTGATTGGTTAAAGCGATTAATTTAAAAAATATATTTTTTAATGTTCCATTAAAGAAGAACATAGTCACAGGAAAAAAAATTATCTTAAGTGTCCAGCTCAATGAACTCTCAAAACAAAACACCTGTTTAACAGGTACACAGAACAAGAAGCAGAATATTATCAGCACCCCATATGGCTCCCTCATGCCCCATCAGAGTCACTAGCTCCCACCACCCCACAAGGATAACCACTATCCTAACTTCTAATGCCATTTGTTAGTTTTGCCTGATTTTAAAACTTTATGTAAATGGAATAATAGTCAGGCTTATTTCACTCAGCATTGTATTTGTGAGATTCACCCATATCATTGCATCTGGTTGTTGGTTGTTCTTTCTCCTTGGTGGATAATTTTCCATTAGATGAATATGCCACAATTTCTTAACCATTCTCAGGTTATTGGGCATTTGGGTAGTTCTAGTTTAGAAATATTATGAATAGGGCTGCTGTGAACACTCCTGTCATATCTCTTGGTGAATTGATATACCTTTTCTGTTGAGTATATATTCAAGATAGAATTGCTGTCCTCAAGATTCTTTACAATGATTTTTTTCTATTACAATGGAAACAATTATATTCTTTAAATGAACACTTCAGTTTTCCATGAGCTTTTAAATATGTTATAATTTTTCTCATTCAGGAACACATAATTCCTTAAGTAAAATGATTAGCATATATTCATGCTTTATTCTGAACCTGTCTATAGCTACACTGACCATTACTGTAGCCACTACCCGTGTGAGGCTACTGAGCACCTGAAATGTGCTGTAGGAGTGAAATACAGAATAGATTTCAAAGACTTAGTACAGAACAAAGAATGATAATATCTCATTAATAATTTTTAAATAGCCATTACAGGTTGTAATGATATTTTTGGATATACTGGGTTAAATAAAACATATTATTAAAATTAATTTCACATTTTTTGAAGGTGGCTACTAGAAAACTTTAAATCACATATGTGGCTCACAATTGTACTTCCCTTGGACAGTGCTGGTCTATACTATGTAATTAAATAAATGGATAAAGACTTGTAATATTTTATATGTACATTACTGAAGGTTCTTTTTGATAAAGATCATGCTATAGGTTACTTTGTACCCTCCAGTACTAGCACATGGTTGCTGGCACATCCCTGATATTTAATAAATACATCTTTACTTTTTGATTGACTTCATTGTTTGCTTTTAAAGTTAAAATTCCGCATCATTCACCTACATGATGCAAATAGTCCCAAGTGAACAAGAAATGGTAAATGTCTGCATGGAAACTGGAAGACTTGGAATTGAGTATGACAAATTTTAGTTGACCAAATTTTAATATGTTCTTCCATCAAAAACAAATTTCTTGAATTGCAATTCCTTAAAGACTATCACTAAGTTTATGCTATGCTTACTGCAGCATGTGTATTAAGAAAGGTTTTTCCATTAAACAGGGACATTTATTATTTAGGTAAAGTAAGCTATTTCTTTTTTGGCCCATCGGTAGAGTACTATGAAGCACTAATTAGTCATAACAAAAGTGGTACACTACATGCCACAAGCCAAAATAGCCATGTCCTGCTTGGCAAATTGCTAATATATTTTTCTTGAATTCCTATTTTTGCATTAAGTAGATTTTGAACCATATAAAAATGGTTCTTCTCAGCTTCCTTTTAGTGAGAAAAAAATAGGCCTCAAATGATCTTGAGGTCACATTAAACTTCACCTGACATGAGGAACCTAGGCCAAATCAGACCTTTGTTGAAGAGTAATCTTTTGGTGGTAGGGAACAGAGACTCATTCAAAGTCACAACCAAAGTGATAGGTGTTTACTATGAAAGAGAAGCGGAGGATAGTCAGCGCAGCCCTGGGGACCTGGATGATCATATTCTCCTGGGAGCAGGTCTCTGTGGCTCTTATTTCATCACTGGGCCTCAGCTTCTCTTAGAGTCCAGTTCTACCACTCTACCCTGCCCACCTTCTACTTCATCCCTTGGGTTTAGGCTTGGTGTTGAATGTTTTACTTTCTGGAGGCCCATTTTCTCTATTCCAGCTTCAAGCATCCCTTGGCTTCAGTCTTTCTGTGGGATAGCTCATTCTCTCTGTATTCTCCCCTTTCATTTTCCAAGAGAGAATCTGATTGGCTTACCTAATTATCAGAGTCTTGTTTAGTGGGGACTGTTTTCCAGTTCACCTCTTTGGATGATGGAGTTTATGGACTGTGTTCTGGGGCTCTATGATCACCCTTAACCCCTTCAGCTCATGAGAGTGGGAGGGCTTTTTTGGGTGGCTATTTGAACAACCTTTGTCTTAAAAATAGTTTGGGTCACTTCTCTTAAGTGGGCCTCTGTTTCCTTTTTGAAAGGACTCCAGGTAGAGAAAGCATATCAGCATATCACATGCGCACGCACGCACGCACACACACACACACACACACACACACACACACAGAGATTAAAATGATAGTGACTAAAATAAAGGGAGTATGAATAAATTGAATTATGCATTTAAATGTGGGAAGTAATGAAGGGAAGAAACCTATACTGACCCAAGATCAAGAACTAGCTCTGTCCAAGCGTGTTGCCAGTGGGTTTCAGCCCCCCTGGCAAGTTCACTATGGATTCAGCGTGACTAAAGAAATGACAGTAGAACGTTCTTGGGGTGAATGGGTTATGCCCAACTTTATTTCCACGGTGTCAGGTCAATCACTAAAATCTCATTCACTCGGAGTGAGTCTGCATGACGCAAGCCGGTCTCTGCCTCTGGGCCTTTTTAACTGCACAGCCGTCCTCTGAGTCTCTGTTCTTGATGCTGCCATCACTCCAGCCTCTGCTCCGCTCTCCTGCAGCCTTGCCGCCTTGCCACCGTTTCGCCCAGAGCACTGGGCAGAGCTCTTTATATAGAGTCAATAACCACGTATTGCCCACACCTGTGTGGTGAGCTAGCCAGTCAGGGCCAGGTGAGAATCCTGACCACAGGAACTTTCACTTTATCCACGCCAAGTAAAATTTCTTTGCAGTAGAACAAGTTGGTTTTCAAAAAGCAGACCATCTTGCTGTCATGTTCTAGTTTTCTGGAGTCCTCTGCTCCTGGCATATGGAATCGAAATCATGTTTCTCCCAGGAGTCTGCAGCATTCAGCATGTTGAGGGTGCTTTATTTCTTAGGAGAAAATCTGACAGGAAACCAAAGCCCAGGATCAGCTGCGGAGGGCTGGTGATCATAGATAGGATCTGAGTGGCGAGGGGGAGAGCGGGCGGTAATCGAAGCCCTGGGTCGGTTTTCCTAGAAGCCTGCGGCGCTTAGCCACCTGTTTGGAGTCCGCCCCCTTTGGGGGCGTCTCCTTCCCGGAGTTTCCTCCTCATAGGCTTATCCCCGGGAGGGTGGGCGGCCCCTTTCCGAGCGCTTAAACTCTTACCGCGCCCCCCATCCCACCCCGTCCGCACCCCCGCCTCCTCCACACCAGCCTTTCTCTGCCTCAGTCACTTCCTTCCTCAGCCTCCTCTTCCCTGTGCGTTAAGGTCACCGGGTCCGACCGCCGCTGCACCAGTTTTTCATCGGAAGAGAAAAGGAGGCGGAGAGGTGAGTGAGTCCCCTGGGAAGATGCGGCCAGGTATGAAGGACGGACGAAGGTATCGGGGGAGGCCGGGCAGCCGGGGCAGGGTGGGCGGCGGGCAGGGATCCGGAGGGGCCGGGGCACGCGGCGGGGTGAACCGGGACGCGGCTGAGCTGGTCGGGGGACCCGGTGGGCGCGCCCCCTCCTCTCCAGCCGCCGGCCGGGCCCGGCCACGTGACGATTTGCAGGTCAGGGGCAACCTCAGGGCGAGCGGCGGTCCGACCGTCCCCGCCGGGCACCTTGGCCGCTGTGCACTTGGCCGCAGCCAGTGAGCCAGTCGGGCAAAGCTGGGTGGGGAAGGGCTGGAGGAGCGGGAGCGGCTCCCGCGGGGAATTTGGGGGGCTCGGGGCAGCGGACTGCACTGCGCCGGCGGTGGGTGCGGTCTGTACGCTCCAGGTAGTGTGCGCGGCGGGTGGTAATAGGGGGACCCCAGGGGGCCGGGGGCCTCCGGGTGGGGTCCGTTTTCGTCGTCCGGTTTGGGCGTTTGCTCTGGAGGCGCGTCAGAGCGCACGGGGAGCGCGGAGACAAAGGCTTCCGCGACGCAGCCCTTCCCCGGGAGGCTGCCCCGAGCCCACCTGCGGTCCCCGAGCAAGGGCCGAGCCCCGCGCCCCGCAGCGCTGCGCTAGCGCAGGTGGTGACCGAGTGATGGTCTGATGGGGACAGCGTCTTGGGACCCCTTCCGGGCAAGCGCCCCAACTTGTGGCAGGCATGACCAAATATGGAGTGCTTGCGCGCCGGCGGGGAGGCAGGAAGGAACCCAGTCATCTCTGACCCGCACCAGCTGCTAATCAGGGATTGCGAAGCAGGGCCGGAAAAAAGTGGCCAGCGCTGCTGAGTACAGTTGTCTCCTGATTTCCAGACGTCCCCACTCCAGCAGGCTTTATTCCTTGAACATTAAAAAATCTCCAGGTATTCTTCCAAAGTTAAAAAAAAAACAATTATAAGAGAGTCCTTAAATATATTGTGTGTATTGATAGTGGATCGTTTCAGCATATGGCCCAAATCCTCTGACATTGCGCTTTCTTTGTGATTCCCACGTACAATGCCTAATTAGACTCAGTCACAATTGGAGGGCCTGAGCAGCATCTGCCATTGCCTTCCCTTGAGCCTCCCATTGACACAGCTTTTTCTTCCCCTTAGACTTGCTCTGCTTATGCCCTCTCCTCATTGTTCTTGATCTTCCTGCTTATTCCAGTCCCAGAGTTCTGCTCTTATAAAATGTCATGGGCCTTCCAAGGAATGTTTAACAATGAGGTGTTTCCCCCCCTCTTTGTCCCCACTAAATAATAAAAATAAATAGATCATGCCAAATTATGTATGCTAACCATAGTTTCTAAGCCTGTTATTTTCTTACTTGTAGGGGTCTGGGCAGGGAGCCTTTCTTGCTTTGTAAGTGTTTTGCCTTACTAAGTCCTCAGCATGTAATATTTCATACAAATACAACGTGCTGTTATATTTAGTGCTGTTTGCATAATAACCAGAAAGAAGGAGGAAAGAAAAGCCACAATGATGTGGTAGTAACAGCCTTTAATTGTGGCGAGTCCCTCTGAGCCAGGGTCATTATCCATAAAATGGGAATGAATAATAAATACTTTGCAAGGTTTTTAAGATTATGTGAATTAACATGATGAGGAGCCTCATGTAATTCATTATAAAGAAATGCTGGATGCCTTCTAAAATTGGATCAGCTTACATCTGCTTAATATGATGCAGGTATTCACACTACTTAATAGGGGGTTTTCCTCTTAGAGTCTCATTATTAAAATAGAGCTATGCCTTCAGTGTGCTGCAGTGGTGGGTGGAAGGAGTGGGGAACCTGTTAAAATGATAAATTTTTAGACAATTTGAGAATTGGAGAGGGTGGTAATCCCCTTGGGCATTTCACTCTCCCTCTGTCCAGTGCTGTCTAAATTCCTCAACCCTCAGAGATCCATGTGTATTCCTGCATTAATGCATCCAGTAACAGGATGTAACTTTATTCATTGTTAGGCAGTTGACAAACTTTTTCCTATGAGGCTCTCAAATCTGCCTTTCTATTAACATCTGCCCATCCTAACCAACAGAGAGACACAAAACAAGACTATTCACATTAAGTACATAAAAGGAGCCATAATTAAAAAAAAAAATCAGATCTCCCCTAGGCTAACTTTAGAGGCGAAGAGCTTCAGCATGCATGTGACAGAAACTCAATCAAAACAGGGCAAGCAAAACCAGGGAAGATTGATTGGCTGGTGTAACTGGGAAGTCCAGGGTCATATACAGGCTCCGTCATTGTTACGTGGGTGCGTGTTGCTTTGTGCTAGCTGTATTCCTGGAAGGCTCTTCTCACATGATACTGTTTATATCAGGGGCTGTAAAGTTACACCTTAGAACCCAATAGAAGAGTGTCATTTTACTAATAGTTCTGATAAAAACCCTGGGCCGATAAAAACCCCATTGTTAAGGATGGGATCACCTACCTTATGCCCCAAATAAATTATTCTGTCTCTGAACCACTCTGGGAATTTAAAGTGAGCATCTCCCCAAGGTACATGGGTTTAGAGTACGGAATGAAAGACTTGATCCAAACAAAAATTAAACTGCTCGTGCCTGAATGGGAAATGGGTGCTGGGCAGGTAAAAATGGCAGCTGTCCTTTTCACTGACTGATTGACAAAGAGTTTTTTTTCTACCATTATTCTCATAGTGTATCTTCGAGTTGTGTCCTCAGGTACAATGTAGCTTTTTAGTATCTCAAACTATGTCTTGAATACAATGTTATACATAAAATTTCACCAACCCAAAGTTCCCAATATTTGGACACTGTAATTTTTGGTAGTGAGTTTTATATAGATGCAGTAACCCAAAATGTTGCATCTTATTGCAATTCATGCTTCTTAAATTATAATATTCACACACGTAATGTAACAGATGGTTAGTGGTGCTTTTAATTATGAGCTGATAGAGAATCTGGGGCCCCAATCAATATCATTTAAAAATAGATGTCATTCTTAGTTTTAAAAGCTACAAGGGATTAGTTACAATCTGCCTGCATAAAGTTGTTTCTCCCAAATCATCACTACAGGGAAAACCGTTCACACAACCCCACTTTTTTAGTCCCTTATTTGATTGGGAAAACTGCCATGAAAACACTGAATTGGCACATATTCTGCCAGTTGCTTCTGACCCTCATGTTGTCATTTGCACTGTAAATTACTGCCTACTTATGGAAACTTTCCCTTTACTTCTTTGACCCCGCCTTGTCAGGGTTCTCTCCTCCAGCTCCACCTCCTCATTTCCCATTTCCTGCTGGTATTTCTCTCCTCTTACTTTCTATAGGCGTTTGCCAGGCCTCTTTACCTTCCCTTTTCTGTCTCTGAGTGCTCTTCCTGTGAGAGTCCCTTTCTGTACCCCCACTTAATTCAGCACCGTAGGGTGCCAGCTCCCCCAGGTGCAGTCCCATCCCCTCTCATGCCTTCACTCCTCCTTTCAGTCTGAGACACCAGTGTTTATTAACCCTGTGCTCTTGGTGCAGATGCAATCCAGCAGTGAGCAGTAGTCAGATCTCTGCAGAGGAGCTTACCATCTAGTGGTGAAAGCCGAGACCCGGGGATTCCCAGGAAGTGAAAGGAAGAGGGTGCACTGCTGTGGGAACATAGAGGTAGCTCTTCTAGTCCAGTGTTTCAGGGAAGGCTGGGACTGGATGTGTTAGAGTTAACCCCCAGAAATAAGAATAGTCATAGTCGGGGTTGAAGAAAAAGTATTTGTGAAGGCTGGAGGAGTGAGGGCAAGAGGCATTTGAGGCATAAAAACAAGCCCCATGTAGTTGTAGCTTAGAGTTCAAGGGGTAGAATAGAGGAGGCTGGAATGGTGGGCAGAACCCAGGCTGTGGAGGACCTAGTGAGCCAGGTGAGCCTCACAGCTCCTGGTAGTCCTGGACTCCTGCTCACCCAACAATGAGTGGTCTTCACCACAAGCTCTCCATGGCTGTTGGGTTGTACTGGGCATTGTCCAGGGACGGATATGACGCCCCTGTGTGCGACCCATGTCACTATTGTGCTGACCTAACGGTATTAAGATTGCTTTGTACTTATCTGCCTTGTAGACTGCAGGCTCAGGGAAGGTTGGGAGCACGTCCCTTCTTCTTGGTACTTTGGCTCCTAGCTTAGGGCTTGCCTCAAGTGTGCTGTGCTTTTTCTTTTTGACCTCTTTGCTTTTGCATATGCTCTTCCTGTGCACAGAACATCCTTTCCCACCTGTCTACCTGGTCGGCTTCTCCCCAGTGGCCTCCCAAAGCCTCTATGGCTTCCTCCGTTGTGCTTTGGTAATGCCTTGGACTCACCACTTAAAGAGTGTTGTCACATTGCTATTCATTCCAGGCCTTTCTCTGCCTCTGGTCATTGAATTCCCTGAGGCAGGCCCTGCGTTACTCACCTGTGTATTTTTAGTGGTGAGCAGAGCACCGGGAAGACAATGGGCTTAGAGTTAATAGTGGGTGCAAGGAATATGGCTGCATGCTCCCCAGTAGACTGTGTAGAATCGGAGTGGGGCCAGCCCAAAGGGGCAGTCATAAAGATAGAAGGCAATGGAGGTACTCTGGTGTCATGTACATCACACAGGTAATTTTAGGAAGAAGGGCATAGCAAATTAATAGTGAGAAATGCTACATGAAAAAAGAAAAAGAACTGGCCCTTGGATTTGGTAAGATGTGCTTAGTGAAGTGTAGAAATGGTAATACAGACTTATTTTTCTCTCCCTTAGGCAACAATGAATGTGGATCATGAGGTTAACCTCTTAGTGGAGGAAATTCATCGTCTGGGTTCAAAAAGTAAGTGTTATAACACAGATACAACATTTTTTCTGAGTTCACCCCAGAACAGGTAGGACCGGCCCACGAAGGGGTCACCGGGAGCTTCAGGACATAGTTACAGCAGCTTTGCCTCCAGTCCCAGGTAATAACTGCCCTCAGCCATGGAGTGATTTCTGGAGAAATCACAGAGCTATTGGGGTATTGTGATTCTGATGCAAAGAATGGTTGATGTATTCCATTATCCTTTGAATGGGAAGAAAATTGCTATGTTTCTTTAATCTGGCTGCATTGAAATCTGGTAATTGAATCATGTTCAAATTTTTATTTGTCACAGTTTTACAATTCATTTTTTTCTGTTTTATCCTGCCACCATTTTACAGACTTACTGATGACTAGGAACTCAGATTGAAATTATACTAAGTCTTTATTTTCTCCAAATTCTTGAGTTTTGTATAATCAGGTTTTTATGTGTATATAACTAAAGGAAACCATCCTTTAGGTAGTTTTTTTTTAAGCAGCATATAAGCAGCTACCATGAATTAGTGACATGTAAAATTGGTTATAGTAGTGTCCTTTTCCTAAATTGTAATGAAAGTAACTGTTACGGCTTTAGTTATTTGTATATCTCAGACAAGACAGCAAGAGTTTAGGGAGCATCTTGAAAATTTTAAAAGCAACAGACATGTGCAGCAACAACTAACTTACTGAAAATCAAAGTTTTCAAATTACGTCATGTAAGTGAAAAGCAGATTTTAAAAGTATCTCATTAGAGTTGTTTTGTCATTATAGTTTGATTCTTCTTAGTCATAGCTCAGTCTGCTTATGAATCACAAATCATTTGAAATAACAAGGCATACTTTGAAAATTCCTTTAAGCTAGTAGCATCAGCTGTCCCTGTGTTAGTTTTCTGTTGCTGTTCTAACATTACCCAAAACTTAGTGGCATGAAACATCACATCCAATATCTTAACAGTGATGCAGGTCAGTAATTGTCTTAGTTCATTCAGGCTACTTTGACAAAAATAGCACAAACAGGGTGGCTTATAAACAGAAATTTATTGCTCATAGTTCTGGAGCCTGGCGGTTAGAGATCAGGGCACCAGCCTGGTTGGGTTAGAGACCTTTTCTGGGTTGCAGGGTTCTTACATTCTCTCTCACATGGTGGAAGGGGCTGGAGATCTCTTTGGCGCCTCATTTATAGGGCTTTTATGTTAATCCATATGACTTATGACTTTATACCCTTACACCCTCTGACTTCAGCACCTCCCAAAGGCCCTACCTACTAATAACAACATTTGGGGGTTAGGATTTGAACCTATGAATTTGGTAGTGGGGGTGGGCAGGGGCATAACATTCAGACTATAGCAGAGTCTGATAGGGTGTCGCTGAGCTAAAATCAAGGTGTTGGCAGGGTGCATTCCTTTCTAGAACCTCTAGAGGAACATCTGTTTCTTAGCCTTTTTCTTGCTTCTAGAGGCAGCTTGCATTTTTTAGCTCATGGCCCCCTTTCTCCATCTTCAAAGCTAATAGCTTGTTGAGTCCTCACGTTGTGGCACTCTGGCCTCTTCTTCTGTCTCCATTTTCTGTTTTAAGAACAGCTGTTATTACTTTGGGCTATCTGGGCTAACCCAGATAGCTCAGGAATATCTTCCCATTTCAGGATCTTTAATGACATCACCAGAGTCCCAGTTGCTATGTAAGGTGACATATTCATGGGTTCTGGGGATTAGGGCATGATACTCTGGGGACCATTGTTTTTCTTATCACCTCCCTTTTTTGGTCTTCTCTAGTCATTTTATTTTTATGTCAGACCTGAGTTGTCATTGCTGAAATAAACTGAGAAAAGATAAACTAGACATGTGAAAGTTGGTTTGAACTCAACAACTGAGTTGAGTCATATGGCCAGTTATTATTTGTTTTGCATCTGTGCAAAGCACAGTGTAAATCCAAGAATGTAATGTTCTTGTTCTTCAAGAATTTCCCTACTTAGTTGAGAAAAACAGATTAAAAAACTCATGAGGCAATTATCAGAAAAAATGGTATGCTAAACTGTGAGGTGCTGACATTCAATTCAGTATGGCCCTAGAAAAGTAGATTAAGCTGTAGTGGTTGGGGGCACTCAGTGAAGCCTTGAATCTTACATGGGATTTTGAGATGTAGGGCAGATCAGCTTAGGAGGAAAATGTATGAGCTGAATTTGGGATATTTGTGGGGAACCCTGAGGAGACAGTGGAGGATGTAATTTATTTAGTTTCCCAAACAGATGAACAATCTTTCCTAATCCCATTTTTTTCCCACCCACTTTCCCATAGAAGCTTGGTGAGTCTTATTTTCAGTATTGATGTCCCTACCCAAGTTCTCCATTTCTACATACCTCATTTCTCTGGAGCTCTGTGAGGTCATGTTATTTTTGGGAGTAATACTTGTTGTTTAGATCGTTTAACATATTAAAGATGTTTTCCTAAAGATTTGTGGGATTTTCTCCTTTCCTAGATCTTTCTCCAGGGCAGCCCAGTCAGATTGAATTGCCTTCAAGATTCTAACCTCTGCATCCCTAGAACAGCAGAATTCTGCTAGGGCAAACTGAATCTGCACATCAAAATTTGCAGTTTCACAAACCAGAAAGACTACAAAGTAGTTCTCATAACTTCTGTAAGGATGAAAATAATTTGAATTGCAGCTTAGCTCCTTGATTTACCTCTCCTGCTAACAGATGATTTTTTAAGTTGGGAAGCATCTATGGAGATATGTTATCTACTAATAGGTTATGGTTAATTATTTAAATTGTGTCTGGAATAATTTTGACTAATGTAAATTTGATTTAATCATATTTATACTACATATGTATGAACAAAAGTTGGAAATTTATGAATTTATTTTCTGTCTGTTTTGAAATAAAATTCCTTAAAGTCTCTCATTTTTCATCCAGTGAATAAAAGTTAAGTGGATAAAGATTATTTGCGGATTTAAATTCTTTCATTCAACAAATATTCCTTGAATACTGCCTTTGTGCTCAAATGCTGGAGATGTGGAAATAAAATTCCATCTCAGCCTTTACAGGCGTCTTTAAGTAGCATGAAGACAAATACACTAGAAACATGTATTGGGAAGTAGTTAAGAGCTTGGAGTCAGACTCTGGGAATGAAAGCTATTTTACTACTTGTTGTGGGGCCTTGAGCATGTCACTAAACTCTTGTGCCTTGGTTTCCTTATTTGAATATAATAATATTCTATTTCAGTTATTCAAAGACACTTTTTCCCCCCACTCTTTAAAATCTCCAAAATAGGGAATTGCCTTAAAATACATAGTGTGCTTTAGTAAAATTGGCAGTTTAATTGGAACATAAAATAACGGTGTGTCTTGCAGTCAATTGTAACTTTGACGAAATGAGGATCAGATGAGTTGAATCACTGTTAAAGGCATGGAACAGTTGAGGAACATAGCAGGTGCTCAGATGTCAGCTGGCATTACTGTGATTGATGGTGCATGCTTTAATAGATGTGTACTCGATTTTGTAAGAAGTGTTATTAATTCAACTGAAGGAATCTTGGAGGACTTCTTGGAGAAGGTGACATTTTGAGTCCCTTTTTAAAGACAAAGAATTTAGTTAAGGAAGGAGCTATGGGATGCTGGGCAGATGGCTCAGCATGGGCAAAACTACCAAGACAGGGTCTCTCATGTCACGTTGTGTAACAGGAAGTCATTCATTTTGACTGGATCAGAAGGTGCATGGAATGGTATGGCAGGGGACCAGGTGTGAGAGGAGTACAAGGACCAGAGAATGAAGAGTTTTTATCTGTCAGGCCATGGACTTCATTTTAGTTTGAAGGTGACAGAGAGCTATTGAAAGATTAAAGTAGAAATCAGGTTTGCATCTTACAAAGTTTCTCCTACACTTTTTATTCTACACCAATAGGAAGGATGTATTGGGAGGCGAAAATGGAGAAAGGGAGGCTGGTAAGGAGTCTTGCAGTTACCCCCATGATAAACAATTCGGGCCTAAAGTGAGGAGTTAATTTTAAATAGAGAGGAGAGACTACAGTGACAGCAATACCAAGAAGCTGGAATCACCTGAAGGTTGTCAGATTGAGGGGTGAGTGGGCAGAAAAACTCTAATATGATAGCCAGGTGTCTGTCTTTGGAGCCTTTAAAAAACTTCACCTAAATAAAGAATTTACCCTATGCTGGGCACTCTGAAAGGCTTTACCTATATTCTGTCTTTCAGTGCTTGCAGCAACCCTATGAGGGATCCTTTTACCCTCATTTTGTGGATGAGATAAGTGCAGCTCAGGAAGCTTGAAGGGCCTGCCCAAAGCTACCCAGCAGCTCCATTTAGTATCAGTGAGCGATTTTCGTTGTAAACAGAGGGTTTTGCTGCTAGAAATTAAAAAGTGAAAGAGGTACATCTTTGCTTTCCAGGCCAAGCATGGTCAGAGTCTCTGTTTTCCCTTACAAACTTATTTCCTCCTCCTTATTTTAGATAGTTGAGTTGAGGTGAGTAACTTACACTAGTCACTGTTCCGCTAGACACCTTACAGGTTTCACCTGTGCTGATGGTTTGGTGCACTTCCCCATTTCTGTTCCTGACCGTGTGCTGGGACTGTGTTGTGTGTTTTAGAACTGTGTCCACCAACAGCTTATGTGGGAGGTATTAAGATCCCCATTTTACAAATGAGGAAACTGAGGTTCAGGGAGCTTATGCAAGTTGCCCAAACAACTAGTAGGGCAGAGATTTCAACTGAAGACTATCAGGGTTTTTAAAAGCTCCGTATTACACCCTACTTTATAGTCCAGCCCTGGAACTGCCTGCTCCCCGAAGTCTTTTCTTACCATTCTAGCCCAGTCCTCCTGCCCTCCTCCAAACGGTAGGAGGATGTGTTGTCTTTGCTACTCACTGCACAGCCAGTCATACACCACTTGGTACTGTTGCTTTGTTGTGTGTATATTTATTTCCATGTGAGAATTGAAGCCATTTCTTTGAAAGCTAGAAACGGATTCTACACTTCTCTTTGCTTCCAGCTGCCAGCACAGCCCTGCACTCATAGTATGAGCCTACTAAGCCTCAGGTTGGAAGTTCTAGCAGGGGAGCACAGGAGCTCAGGAACCCTTGGCTAAGGCATGGTCCATCTCACTGTGATGGCCATCTTGACAGTGGGCACAGCTTTGGGAAGGCAGGACATGGGGCAGTTCTGTGGGAACGGCGTCAAGGGTTTAGCCAGGTAGATCAAAGGAGTTAACCAACAAAGGGGAAGTGTCCCAAATTACCCTCATCTCCAAGTTCTCAGTTGATTGAGTTTAAGCAAAGAGCCACCTCTTGTTTACTTTATGTTTTTCAGAAATTCTTTGTTTTAGAGCTGTTTTAGATTTATAATAAAATTGAGAGGAAAAATATAGAGATTTTCCCATATACCTCCAACCTGTGCATATGTATAGCCTCCCCCATTATCAACATCTACCACCAGAGTGCTACATTTGTTACAGTTGATGAACTTATATTGACACAGTATCAACCATAGTCTGTAGTTTACATTACAGTTCTCTCTTGGTGGTGTACATTTTATGGGTTTGGACAAATTTACAATGACATGTATCTATCATTGTAGTATCACACAAGAGTATCTTCACTGCTCTAAAAATCCTCTGTGCTCTGCCTGTTCATCTCTCTCCAACCCCAACCCCTGAAAACCACTGATCTTTTTACTTCATCTTTTTTCATAGTTTTGCCTTTTCCAGAATGTTCTGTACTTGGAATCATACAGCATGTAACCTTTTCTCTTCACTTTCTTTTGCTTAGTAATATGTTAAGGTTTCCAACATGTCTTTTCATGGCTTGATACAACTCATTTCATTTAGTGTTTACCTTAATTATTAGCATCTATATGAAAAACTGGTCTTCAAATCTAGGAACCTTGGTAAATATGGATTTCTTCAGTTTTAAGGTCACCTCCCTGGGGTTCTGAGTATGTTCAGAACACACTTAGAAAAGTGCTGCTCCTGACCCAGGGTTTCTCTTGTATTTCTTACTTTTATTGAGTCTACAACTAATAATTAAAAAATGGAAATGTAGACAGAGAAGAATTGGTTCACAGTAGTAACCCTGTAACACATTCACCTTTTGTAATCGTTTCTTGGTTCCACTCCAGTCTTTGTTCAGATGTTACTAAGGCTGTGGGGTGTACAAGACATTGTATTTATCCCATCACTTTTTGGATCTGGTATTTGAACTTATGACTGTTGAATTTATGACTGTTTACTGCTCACTGGTAATCTTGGTTAACCTATTGTTAGATGTTTCTTAAAGATTATGTAAATCTGCCATAGGTGGGGGCAAGAGACAGACTTTGTTTTGGCTAACATTATGTTTTCTTAAATTAGATGCTGATGGGAAGTTAAGTGTGAAATTTGGGGTCCTCTTCCGAGATGACAAATGTGCCAACCTCTTTGAAGCCTTGGTAGGAACTCTCAAAGCTGCAAAACGAAGGAAGATTGTTACATACCCAGGAGAGCTACTTTTGCAAGGTGTTCATGATGATGTTGACATTATATTGTTGCAAGATTAATGTGGTTGGTCTATCTTTGTCTATTGTTATTTTTTATTTCTGTTAAACTGGAATATTAAGTCAGGATAAACATATGAGCATACTTAATGTATTTTTATAGAACTTTATGAACAAATGGAGACTCATATTTTAGAAGTCCTTTTTTTATATCTTGAAAGAAAATGGACTACACTGTACAATAAGCATTTTTTTTTCCTCAGGAATCTGTTTGGAAAATGTAGACATTTGGGAGGCTTGATGGGGGTACAAGTGTGTTTGTTTCATAAATTGTTCTTATACAAATTTCTACAGATATTAATATTCTGAAAGCAAGCAAACAGAAGACTGGTTCTCCTAAGGAATATAAAAATGTCTAATAAAAACTTGTAACTATCTTAAAATTGTCTTACTGCCTTATTTTGTCATTTAAGTTTTATGTGCTTCTCAGTGTCAAATTTTAGCATCAAGATCAGGTAACTGTAGTAAAAGTTATTTTAATGTGAAGAAAAATTCTCTTAAAATTACGGAATTTAAAGAGTAGGGATGATGAGTATTGTGATCAGGCTCTATAAAAAAAAAACCCTTCACTTTCTAATTGGATTTCCAACAATGTAGGGTTGTTTATAATTGCGTGTTGCACCCTATGGTACAGAATTGAAAATGATACTGAACCTCAAGAAGGGTAACATCAGTGAGAGCCAGGATGGCTGAAAAAGGTATCGTAGAGAAGGCAGAATTTGCCTGATTGGAACTGATTATCCCGAGGGTAAAAGATGGGATGGGTGATGCCGATGACTCAAAGTAAGGCAGCGGGACATGTCTTAGCAAGGCATGACCTCACGAAAGGTAGGATGTTAGGATGAGTGGAGTGTTAGGGAAAGAGATGATTCAGATGGGATACTTAAGGTAGAAACTGGGAGGCCAGGGAGAGGAGTCTGAATAAATTGGAGCAGGGAAGTTCCATGATGAAAGTGATAATTGAGCGAAGGCTGCTCTGGCCCTGGTTGCTGGTGGACTTGAGAATGAAGATGCAGTCAGACAAGCCAGCTGAAATACTGCTCAAGAATCTCACGGGGGTGGTGATAATGTGAAGGCAGAGGCAGGAGAGACTCCAAACACATTTTTAAGGAAATTGAAACTTTCTGCCGTGACAGGATCCCAATTCAAACTAAACAACAGATTTCACTGGCACTTCTTTGTCTAACATTTATTGAACTTAAATGGGGTGTTTAATAATAACACTATGGTAATCCTCAAATAACCCAGAGAAGTAGATACTAATATTATCTGTTATTTTATAGTTGAGGTAAAAGAGGCTCAGAAAAGTTAAATAGCTTGTCTAGGTTCACTTTGCTAGAAAGTGGGCAAGGCAGGATTTTGAAATTTGACTCATCTGGCAAGTTCAGGGATGGGATGGACTTTAGGCATGGCTGGCTCCGGGGACTCATACAATGTCAAAACTATACCTTATCATATCAGCTCTCATACTTTCTTCATTCTACTCTAAATAGGCTTTCTGCATAAAGCCAGGAAGAAGCTGCTGGTCATTGCAAATTCACATACTCCTAGAATAACAACCCTAGAGAAAAAAGAACTCATTTCTGGTTATGAATCGTAAGAAAGGAACTCTCACTGGCCCCACAGCATAAACCTACCCGTTTGACCGATCACATTTGTCAGAAGGATGCACTACAAAGAGTTGATAGGCCTCAGTCACATGCTCTTTTCTAGAGTAAAGATGGGGCAGGTGCTGTGCTCACAACCTCGCCTCAAATAGGAGAAGGGTAGTTCCCCACAGAAAAGGATGCTAACATATAGCAACAACGTAAGTTCACTGCAAATATAAGGGATCTTTTGAAGGATGAACCCATTGGACTATGTACAGAAAGCATGCTCAAAATCCATTACTGTATGTGGGCTCGGTGAATGAGAGAAGAGTGCATTAACACAGACGGGGAAATTGGATGGGGTAGGAGTGCTGGTTTTAGGGAGAGATTCATTTGGGCACAGTGACCCTGAGGTGCTGAGGGTGAAATTGTAAGCAGGTGACAATTTGGTCTGGAACTCAGTTGAAGATTCAGGAATGTAACAGATGTGAAAGTTGTGGTTCAAGTTTGATTTTCACCTCAATTTTGAGATGTATCGGTACTCATAATTCTGCCTTTAGTATCAGTAAGTTGAAATTATTATTATCAAGTGCTTAGAAAACATACAATTTACAGGCTTCGTAAAAACCTAGGTTAAGAAATTGAAGCAACCTTTGGAGGAGAGCAATCTGGGAAACTGATGTGTCTCACTTGAGGCTGACCTCAAGTAATTAAAACTTCTTTTAAAAATCTAGTGAAGTAAGTTGAAAGAGTTACTCAAAATGACTTCGTTACTTACTTCATTGAGTGTTCTCGGGGAGTGTCAAAGGAAGTTTCAAAGTTTCAAATCATAATGATTTAGAATTTGATAAATATCAGAAAAGTCCATGTGACTTCCTATTCTAAGAAAATTGGCAGAATAGCATTCTTATCTCCCACTGACATCCTTGATAACAGTTTTATGCATTTTCCTTTACATCCGAGATGGTCAGTTCCTTTGAAAAACCTTCATATATGCATAGTTCTCTTTTATTTGGCTCATGGTCCTAAAAATCCAAAATCATAAATTTGATTTCTTCTGAGCCCAATTCACAGAGAAAATAATCTTTCTTTTCCATAAACCGTGTTCCAGTTAATCATCTCAGTAATGAGTACCATTGGCTATATAGGTAGGTGGGAATTAGAAATTATGAACAGTTGTATACAGACATTATTCACATAACAAGTATAGCTTAAGTCACTATGCTAGGCATTAGGAATTATCAAAGCAAAGCAAAATAATAAATAAAATGAGACTTCAGTCTTCAGAGAGAAACAATTTGCACAATAAATACAGACGACGCTTTGTGGAAATGATATAGGGAGACAGGTGCACAAATGATGAATTGTTCTAGGGAGAATTGGGATGAAGTGAAGTTTGTCTTAAACCAGCAGAGTGAAGGGGAAGAACTTTACTGGTAGGATCATGCCTGCTGCAAAGGTAGAGATCAGCAGGTAAGGTTAGGAAAGAGTAGTATTGAAAGCTGAAGCTGGTAAAGACAGTTGGAGCATTATTTTGAATCCTTATGATTGAAAAAAATTCTAAGTACATGTCTTAATATAGTGAGTTACAAAGAACTGCAAAAAAACTTACTTGAAATAATTGGTAAGTAGCACAAATTATGAAGTCTCTTTAATTTGTAAGTTCCATAACAGTGCTATTTTTATGTAGAGATTACATAATAAAATCCTTAATTATAGCTTATCATCTCATAGTGAATGATGGTTAATTGGGAAATTAAAATTACCACTTGTGCATACTCAGATTTCCTTAAGTTGCCCTCATAGGGAATCCAAATACCCCTTTGTGTCCCAGAGGCACAATTTAAAAATAAGTTACAGAAATACTGATATGAGGAATTTATCTTAGTTGAACACAAACATCCCAGATTTCCCTGTGTTTGAGTTGCTTCCTATGGTTCCAGACAGTAAGGAGAAAAAGGCCTGTGGAGTGATAGACAAAATAGAAACATATGTGCTGGCAAAGGAACAAGCCTGCTTTTCTTTGTGTTATGTGGTATTGGACTCATTAATTTTATAGCCTCATATATCTAGAAAAAGTCAAGAGAAAGGCATGTACCTTTAATTTATTTATAGTAAAATAATCTTGGAGTTTCCTCTTCCCCAACAAAAGATATAAATAACTCCAAAGAAGATTCACTCAGAAGCCTTTTATGATGAGTAGCCAGGAATGACCATATTTTTCTGGAAGACGATTCCATATGAAAACCCCTATCTTATATTTTCTGCTTATCTCTAACACCCTCAACAAAGCTTTTTAAAAAAATTTTTGTTTCTGCAGTAGTCCTTTTAGGGAATTTTTTTTTTCATATCTATCAATTAGACAAGTAGATTTTTTTTTGAGAGAGCATCTCTCATATTTATTGATCATATGGTTGTTAACAACAATAAAATTCTGTATAGGGGACTCAATGCACAATCATTAATCAACCCCAAGCCTAATTCTCAACAGTCTCCAATCTTCTGAAGCATAACGAACACTTTTTTACATGGTTAACAAGTTCTTACATAGTGAATAAGTTCTTACATGGTGAACAGTGCAAGGGCAGTCATCACAGAAACTTTCAGTTTTGATCACGTATCATGAACTATAAACAAGTCAATTATGATTATTCGTTTGATTTTTATACTTGATTTATATGTGAATCCCACATTTCTCCCTTATTATTATTATTATTATTTTTAATAAAATGCTGAAGTGGTAGGTAGATGCAAGATAAAGGCAGAAAACAGTTTAGTGCTGTAAGAGGGCAAATGTAGATGATCAGGTGTGTGCCTATAGACTAAGTATTAATCCAAGCTAGACAAGGACAACAAAACATCCACGGATGCAGAAGATTTCTCTCAAAACAGGAGGGGTGAGGTTCTAAGCCTCACCTCTGTTGATCCCCAATTTCTCACCTGATGGCCGCCCTGCGACTGTGCCTGTCTTAGGTTGTTCCTCCCTTGAGGAATCTTACCCGTCTCTGGCTAACCAGTCATCTTCCGGGGCCATACAGGGAAATGTAAAGTTGGTAAGTGAGAGAGAAGCAATATTGTTTGAAAAGGTTAGCTTTTTAATTCTTTGCAGATTTATGCCCTGTGGCTTCTATGCCCAGCGTTTGTCTTGAGGTATCTTTACCACTTGGAAGAATTATGATACTCGGTAATTTCAATATGAGGCACGAATTCTACTTAGGGGTTGTGATTATGAAGGAAGAAGAGAAGCTATAGAAGTAGCAGATGGAAGAAAACATGGGAAGATTGATTATTTCTTTGACATATCTTCTTGTAGTGTAACATAAGTGTGTATAGGTTTTAAATTACTAATTAAATTGCGTGCACACATTAACGTAATAGGAATACAGCTACATAACCAAAGCAGACCTACAATGACCAGCCATATCCAGTGAAACCAAGAAAACAAGTTAGGCACCCTAGGGGAATGTTTTAATGAAACACTTTTAGAAGGAATGGAGACTTCCTTAGCTAGATAAGAGGGATTAACTATTGGGATGTATACAGGGCAATTAGGAAGATAAGTTAACTCACTGAAGTCCAACCCAGGGAAATGTGCTGTGGCAGGGCCTCTGGAGATGAAGGACTCCTAACCAGGGCTTTGGAACAGCTTTTGTAGCTTTTTCAACATCTAAATGCTCTGGAGATTCTGAATCAAGTAGATCTGAATGGGGCCCAAGCATTTCCCTGAGGAAGCATCTCCCAGGTTGATTCTGATGGGCAGCTCTGGAGAAGAACCCCTTCTTGCTGTGTTAGAG